CTATACAGCTCTTAAAGTGCTATATAAGGTTCTGAAAAGTATCACGTTGCTTGGCTGGGTGCTGGAGGCAGGAGGGCACACAGTCTCTTTGGCGTGCTCCAGCAGCCAGTGGAAACAAGGGTAAGCCAGCTCGTGTACGTCTTAGCTTTGGCAGGGATGATCAGAGCCGTAGCTCAGCAAGAAATCAGCATTCCCTCTGCAAGTGAAAGGTCAGGAATGCAGAAAGCTCTCTGCCTTTTTAAGAAGGTTGAAAGTTTTGAAAGTTTGCCCTCTGTTTTTTTCCAAAAAGAGAGCAAATCAGAGGATAACAGTCCCATTTCCTGGTGTATGTTTGGCTGAGAATGTGTCATCTAATCTGTTTAAGAAATGGTCACATGTAATATTTTGAAAAATTGGTAACCTCTGGGTCAAATCCATTCCATTCAGCCCTGCTGTTTGATGATTGACCAGTGGCCAATGATGTTGTATATCCAGCTGACATCCAAGTCCTTTCCTGAATTCTCCAGCCAACAGTTAAAGGTACAGTAGAAACAAAAGCTATCAGCAGATATTTCCTCATTAAAACCTGTGCTGCTGGGCTCAGGGCAGACTGATGAGTTCAGGTTGCTGTGATGTTTTTCAATCGAGGACATCCAAACCCAAGCTAAGAAAAGAGCAGAGCTTCACCAGAAGCAGCCCATGTGTCTGCATATATATATATGTGTGTGTGTGTATGTGTGTGTGTGTGTATGTGTGTACTTCTTCTATCCAAAAGCACTGGCACAAATGCACTGTTATCAGTTGCTGTGAGAGTGGGTGGGAAACTATTCAGAGCAGCTTTTTCCCACTGGAAGCCTTTGGTGTCTAGAAATCAAAGCTCTCTGCAGATGTGTGTGAGTCTTGATGAGATCTAAATTGAGAATTCTAAAATCCAGATGGAATTTGTGATGAAAACAGATGCGTGATCAACACCCTTGCCAGCTTAGAAGGCAGAGGCTGCAGCAGCGCCACGGAGAGCTTGGGCTCCTTCAGCCTGAGTAAGTGCTCAAAGTGTCTGGCAGATGCCAAAGGGAGATAGAGGTTCTTCCTTCCACCTGAATCAAGGTCTGCTTCATCTCCATGACTTTCACAATGTCAGCCTTGATATTTTCTGTTCATGCAACCCCTCTTTAAAGCTGGTGCTCGTTGTGTTGTTTATAGAGGATAAAATGGATTGAATAATAGATATTGGATAAGATTTTGTTCCCTGACTCTTTGAAGAGATGCTACTTTAGCAGATGTTGTTTCTTCTTTCCAAATTACTGTTAATTACCTATTTTGCCTTAAATCAACATCCAGATTCTTTGTGCTTTAATCAATGTATTCTGTTTGCAATATAAGAAAAAATTACTGTAGTGACACAGAATAATTTCCCTTCTTGGTATGGTATCCAGCCATACTTTTAACATTGGAAAAAATGAGTCATGGAATCAACAGCACGTGATGTGGTCCTTCTGAAAGACATCTCAACTGGTGTGGGGTCATATTATAAGGCATCAGCCTTAGAAATTTCTTCCCACTCGCTTGAACAATTTCTCTTTTGTGCAAACATATGCAAAGTCCTGCCTGCCTTTCTCTTCCTTGCAGCCTGTGTTAAACTTCAGTTGTCACTTGGATTTATGTTCCAAGCTTTTCTTCATCAATTTCATTGAATCCAACAGTAGATAATTTAAAGGCTGTACAGAGATATTTTTTCTGAAGGACTCATAAAAGAGGCAGACTGCTGCTTCTAGCTTGAGCCAGAATATATAGAGTGAAGACTGTGCAAGTTTCTTTGCAAGCAGATGTATCTTCTCCATGACAGAGAAGGCACTGGCTTTACAAATGCTGGGAGTCCTGTAAGTGCTCTGTGTCACCCTGAATTAGGATTTGTTTCTGCTTCCATTGACTTAAGCACATGAACATTAATCTCCAGCATTAATCAATTTATTGTCTCTGAACCCCATAAGATAAAGAATTACAATCTCTATTTTTTAGATGAACTGAGTTGCAAAGCGATTTAGATTCCTGTTTAAACACGTGTTTAAGCACCTAAGGATGCAACTAGATGCCGTAAGATTTATGGAAGTGTCTTAACTGATCTTGAGTGGAAGTTTAGAGCTCAGAGAAGTGAAGGGATTTATAAATTCAGCAAGGCACTGGAGTATCTATAGGAGCCTCGTGCTGAGTTCCCTGGTCTCCCCTGTGTCTGGGAGCACAGCTAGAGCGAAGCCAGGGCTGTAGCAGGTAGGCAGGAAGGGCAGTGGGAGAGGAGAGCTGGGTCCTTGAAGAGCCTTTGCCCTGTGCTTGGGGCAGCACTGCTCACACGGACACACACAGCCTTTCTGTTTGATCCCAGCCTTGTCATTCCACCGCAGGGTAATTTCCAGATGCTTTGTTTCCAGGCACGGCAGAGGGTGCAGCTCCAGGAGCATGGAGGTACAGTGGCTGCAGAGCTGCTTTGTCCTGCTGTGCCTGGGCAGCCAGTGAAGGATTCTGAATTAACCATCTGTGCTGAAGAACAGGATAGGAGGCTTAGCAGTATCACTCTCCAAAATATTATGTAATTGTCATCCTATAGTTAAGGACATGCAGAGGTTTCACCTTTTTAGGTATTTTTAATTTTTAAAAATATTTATTTAAATAATGCCCATTAAATTAAATTATTTCATTTAAATTAGTTCAATGCTTCCATTGCTCATGATGCAAAAGACTGACTTGAGACTTGTTTGTATCCTTACAGCCTGCTGGGAATGAGCTTGTTGTGGAAACCACTAGGTGGGAATGACAATAAATTCGTCGAAAAAGGGAGCTTGCAAGCAGGAACCAAAATGAAATTTGAGTCAAATTAGATGAAAATGTTGGGGGAGGAAATGCTTCAGCAACACTAAAATGGCTTTTAATGTTTGAAAGTAGAAAACATTTCCATGTTTGTTTCAAAATTACATATTTCAGCTCCAAAGGGCCAGCACTTGAAAGCGGGAGGTGACAAACTTAAGAATGGTTTTATTTTGTTTTTCCCAAACAAATGTCTTGAGTAAACTCAAATGATTTTCACAGCAAATGAAACATTTCTGATTGTTTGACCCATATGATTATTTCTTTGTGTTTGGTCGTCACTAAAAAAACTCTGTTTTCCTGTTACCAGAACTGTAAGTTGGAGACTGGAATATTCCACCTCCGTGTGTGCGGGGTGCAGCTGCCTGAAATAAATCTCCAAGTTTTAAACATCTCAGGCTCTGCCTCATGGTAGATGCTTTATTCTTACCCTAGAGTGAGAATCCCCTGTTGATGATATCTTTAAGGAAGCTGCTGATCCCAAAGCCCCAGGCCAGAAACCTGGCAACAAGAGTAGTAGCAAGGCATTGTTATATGAGCGAGTCACTTTCTGCAAAGTCTTTAGCATATATGCACAAATAAAGGTGGCTGTGAATGTTCCAGAACTTTAAAAGAAGTCAGTGAACTCACTGTACACATGCAAGCAGATAAATGAAGCATGGCATGTGATACATAAAATTCTGTGTCTCTCCTGGGAGTACTCACGCTGCCTTCCTGAACCCCTCAGATCAAATTTGGCACAGGGGTAGTTGAATGTAACACGGCTGTGACTGTAGCCTTCACAACTAGAACTGTGCAGGTACATATGCTTGATGGGAATGTGACAAGGGAAAATTGAATGTAAAGTCTGCTAGACAGCAAATAAATTTGCTTTATATCTTTATCTTTTCCTTCCTTGGCAATTATTTCAGCAGGTGCTGAACTGCTTTCTGCCTGCTGTAAATGAAGGGACTCAAACGACCTACTGTAAATTCTTGATATTTCCTGTACTTATGAGAAGACATAATCATCTGAAGAACTTGTATATTTAGTGTGGATTAAGATGATTTTTAAATAATGCCCTTTTTTTTAAAGCCACGATGGGTCATAACTAGTGTTAGGTTGCTTAGCACTATATAACTGAGATGTGTTCGTATTGTCACCAAATAGGTAACAATCTATTTTTAAAATAGTAGGGTGGAGTTGCTGCTCAGGTCGTTCCACATTATTTGTTGTAATTCAGTAGCCAGTTAATGACAGCATATCGCTATTAGGTTATAGCCCTCCTAGGTTATGGTTTTTAGAACCATAAAGCAAGAGTTGCAGGGTTTCAGGGGTTGATTACAGAGAGGTTTATTGTTATTTCTTACGCTTAAATCTGCTAGGTAGATTAAAACAGCCGTGTAGGAGATCTGGAATAGCAATGATTTGCTGCTAAACACTGAAAAATCCCTACCTCTTCTACAGAGTAGAGCTATTAAAGTATTGCTTATTGTGCATTAGTATTCTGTATTTGTTACCTGCAGAGCTACTACAGGCAGTAGTGTGAGCAGGCTCTACCATTTATGACTTCATGCTACAGTATTCTGGCTTGCCTGCGCAGTTGACCCGATCCTGTATGTCATCAGGGAGGAGATGTTTAACTTGTGACACTGCTAATCCTTTCCTGAAGGCTTTTCGTTCTTCCTGCACGTTGTCCTTTCGTTGCTTTTGTGAGCTGGAACATGCTTGCTCAGCCCAGTGATGAATTCATGTAATTACCTATGGATGTACTGAGGTCCTGTTGACTTTAATATTAAAGATCAGTGATTGCTTAAGTATTGCACTGAATCAGGACCCCCAGGCGTTTTCACATGCACAGGCTAACTTGGGAATTGAGGCACCTTATTGTAATCCTCCACCACTGGGAATGGAGAGCAGGCTTGGGACAGCGGGAGCACAGCTGTCAATGGGGTGCTCATCTCCCCCAGAAAAACCCGCAGTCCTCACGAGCGGGATACAAGTGGGATACAAAGAAACAAATCATGACATTAGGCAAAGTTTGGAGTGAGTACTTGGTTAATCCAGCTCTGGAAAGCTGGTCTGTGTGCAGGTGGGAGTTACACAAAGGCACACGTCCCTTCAAGGAATCTGCACCCTGGTACTGCTGGGTGTTTTGTGTGTACCTCTGCAGGAGCCCCCTTTGCAGGAGCTCTGGGGGACACAGTTCTTCCTGGCTCAGCTGGCTTCTCATGCAAGGGTAGGTGTTTGTAGGTGTTCCTCATAAATGTGCTTGTCTCCACGTTTTTCATTTGCTGATAATAAATGCAGCTAATAAATGCATTGTAATAGTGCTGGGAATGTTTCAATACTGTCAAGCCCAAAGAGTCTGGGATGAACTTGGTATATGGAGGCATCAAGCCCTCAGAGAAGGTGATTGTCTTCAGGTGGAATGACTGACATTCCTGGGAATCACATCTTTCTTACAAAAAACCTTGAGTCTCCATGTATTGTCCCAATGCAGTGGACACATTATATATTCCATGTAGGGCTCATTTGTGATCCTTTCTGGCAGAGTTTGCACTCCCAGGAGTGCTCGCCCTTGACAAGACGGGAGATGTTGCTGTTAGAGCAGCTCCAGCCTGGGCTTCTGCTGAAGCTCTGTAGCATTGTTTTCCTGGGCTGGTGATGGAAGAGTGGACCTTTGCTTTCTCCATCCCTTCAGAAGCCATCCGTGCTGCTTCCTCAGTGCTTTGATATTCTGCCAGCTGAGGGAGGGAAGAGCCATTTATAAATATTTCTGGTAATACAGTAAGTACTCTCACATGTTTTGCTCACTCATTTTCCGTATCCAGAAATCCATCCGACCAGAATCAGTTCACTCTCTTTTATTAGCAGAAATAGATCCACAACAATTAAAATTGATTTGAAAAAAAAAATAAAAAAAAAGAGAAACAGCAGCAAGCACATCATATTGACTGTGTGTATATTCACACTGGCTTCCAATGCATGGATAATTACCCCTCAGAGATCGTGTGCTATGTACAGTATGATGATGGAATTATGCACTTTAAAGAGTTTTAGTGAGCCTCTTAGGATGCCAATTTCTTTCCCTTTTTTTTCTTTTTTTTCTTTCTTTTCATTGCAGCGAGTAATGATTTTTAAATGCACATGACCTGTCCTCAAAACCAAAGTAAGTCATGTCAGTGATGTTTTGTCTCTGGGTCTGACTTTCCTTGAACTGACGCAGTAGAAGCGTACCCATGAGATGAAGTTGCATGGTCAGGGAATCTCTTGGGATTGCTGATCCTCATTAGTGAGGGGAAAGGCAAGTGGAACTTAAAGTCACTCATTCTGTTTGGCAGCAGGTACCCAAATTACACTTCCTGCAAGGAAGGAGGGCTTGAAAGACACTGTGGGTACAAACCCATAGGAAAGCAGGTTTTGTTATTTTGGCTGATTGTGGATCACCTGACCTGAACACTAAGAACCCAGGGGTAGTGGTTTCTCTGACCTCTTTGTCAGAGCCAGTTCAACTGTTTTGATTTGCAGTTTCACACACACAAAATTAAAATATTGTCTATACATTTCAGCCTAACTTGTTTTTGGCAAAGTGATAAGCAAGTAAAAAACAGGGCCTCATCGTAGGAAGTGTCAAGCCATCTTAATTTTAGGCAGAAATACCAGCTCCTCCTAGAGGAAAAGAGCCAGTCCATAAATAGCTCCCAGCAGATCCTTAACCCAAGCAGACAAAAGGGTGTGACGTGCAGGAGTTTCTGCTAATGCCAGATTTCATCTTTCCACTGGTAATGTGTCACCTGGGTTTGAGTTTGTCTAAGGTGTGACTTGGTGTTCAGGCAGGAGTGCTCATTGATACTCAGTGAACAATTCCCCAGATCCTTGGGAGAACATCTCCAAAAGCACTGCCAAAGGATTTGAAAGTGGAGGTAGCTATTGAAACACAGCCATGGGGACTCAGGCTGCAGGGCTGCTGGTCTCCTTGTTCTGGGACTGTGGCTGCATTTACAGATTTTTATCTTCTGTTGACATCTTTAATAAATGTTTGGTAACAGCAAGTGGTGCTGCATCCTGTTCCACCAGCCTGGGCCAGCGGACTCTTGTGTTAAAGTGAGGGCTCCCAAACACAACTTATTGTCCAAAAAGAGTCTTTTTAACTGGGACTAGAGTAGCTGTGAGCTCCCCACAGCTGCCCTGCTCCTGTTCAAGGATGAATGAAGGTGGGCCTGGGAGTGCTCCCAGGAGTAGGTTGGTGTGCCAGCCCTCTCCTGCCATTCCTCAGGGCCCTGTGTCCCAGGAGGTGCAGTTTCCCTGCTGTCCCCCTGTAACCCGGGCTGCAGAAGCAAGAACTCATCCTGCCATCCACCTGAGCCTGTGTGCGTGGCTCTGCGGCGTGGTGGGACACGTGCTTCCCATGGGGTAGCTGAGTTTATGGGACATGGTTGGGAAAGGCCTGAGGAAGTATCAGATGCTTCAGAGTACACAGCTGTTGTGTCTCTACCTTCCTGATTCCTCTGGGCAATGGTGAGTGGTGCCGAAAGCCACTCACAGCACCTTTCTCTGTGGTCAGTGATTGCCAGAGCTCCTCAGCAGCCTGAGCTGCTCCAGCTCAGCCTTCAGTCCTGCAGTCCCTGCTCTGTCTGGTCACAGCAGTCTGTGGGGGATCTGCTCAGGGCTCCTGGGTGCTCTGGTGAAAACGTGGTGGGGGCAATAGGAGAAAATGTGCCTGTTTGTGTCCTTATTGTTATTGTTTTAATCTTACTTGGGGATTCATTCCTTACTTGTTAAAGATGTAAATTTTAGGTGCCTAATTATGTGTTTTACTTGTCAGCTCTCTCCAGTCCCTTTCTTCCATGATCCCACCACCCTCTTCCCTTCTCATTCCCTTAAATATGTGTAGATGATGAATAGCAAATCTTCTCATAGATTTCTTCAGGAATATTTAGTGTAGGGTTTTGCTTTTGTTTGCTTTTCTGGTGACTTGGAGATGGCATGGTGAGAAAAGAAACATGTGAGCTAAACCTGTTGGTTTGAACATTGTGTCAGAAAATATCCATAAATTGCAAGTTACTACACAGATGTATAGATTTAATGAGACTGTGTAATGCCATTTATTTATGCTAAAGAATCTGACACATACGGTACTGAAAAAAGTTAATACTCTAAGAGTTATTTTATATTTTTTCATTGCCATCTGTCACTGCCTACATAATAATGATACAGGTGAAAGCCTAGCACTGCTTTAAAAAAAAAAAATCAGAATGAATAGTCATTTAAATGTCTTGCTGCTTTAATAGCTGGTGCGTTTTAAGTTGTGGGAAGGAGGCAACAGAGATACCCTCCCCCTGTTTTAGTATATTAAAATTTGGGTTTAAACAGATTTGGATTATTGAAGTGACTTATGAAAATGGAAAATGAATGTAAACTCTACTGTCCTTTACATTTGGAAAAATTAAGGGACTAAACCAGATGCTGCCATCCTTGTAACATAGCGTCTGTGGCTCTTGGAGTAGCCCTTTCATGTGCATCTTGAGATGTGGGTGAATTTTTGTGCTCTAAGTTCTGCCTTAATGGGCTGAACTCAGTACTGCTGGGGTCTCTGAACTGTGAGCAGGTATTTCCAGATCCCTAAATCATTGTCCTCATTTACCATCTCAAATAATTTTTTAAAAAAATAAAATAAACCAAGTAAGGATGTACTTTTTTTTTTTTTTTTAAGCTGCTTCAGGTAAAAATACATGTTTCAAAGCAGCACCATGCCGACAGAAGTCATCATTCACAAAGACACTGGCTTTTAAGAGTTCTCCTTCAACACTGTGTAGTCATACTGTGGTTAGGCAAATCTGCTTTCCCTTTTATTTCTTTTAGTCAAGCAGGAGTCCAGCCCAGCAGTGCCTGTGAGGTGCACAGGGAGAAGTCCCTGTGCTCAGGCATTTGCAATGATCCAGGGCTGCACATGGACCCGGGGACCTGCCCGTTGCTTTGCAGCAGCCACCTGCCTCGCAGGCTACAGACAAGGCTTTGGCTCAAACAAATAAATGAAACAGGTTTTGTTGTTCGTCTGCTTTTTACAATATAGTGACAAAGACAGAAAATATTTTTGTGGCAGGTGCTTATCCTATAATTTTCCATGGGTTGATGAGTTGGGGAGGTGCCTTATTTAGAGGAGGAGGACATGGCTAGGTCAGGTTGCATTAAGATGATTTAGAGTTTATATAATGAGAAATAAATAAAACTTTTCCTGAAAGCTGTGAATGATGATGTATAACTTGGTAATGAAAGCCTTCCACTGATTTAAGATAATGTCTTTAGTGGTAAAAATGCCAGAAAATGAAGCAAAGTCCAGACCCAGAGAAGTGATTCCACTGGCTTAAAACAATTTCTTCAGGTGTATTTTCAAATATAGTGCAGATCCCTAATTGACAGTTCCTTATAAATGAAATAATCATTACTATTATAATTATTACCCTTTGCATATGCTTGAAAGCATTTTAGGAAGCCCTGCACTTTTTAAGAAGCAGAGACAACAATGAGTGAGCAATAAGGTTTTGGTCTCTTCAAATGGATGTTATCAATCACTTTATTTTTGTTTATAAGGGATGATCCATATATAGCTGTAGTTTGTCAGCATTTTCTGTTACAAATTTCTAGGTTTTGTGCCATAAAGAGCTCTGAGCAGCCTCTTAGCAAATCCACTTGAGGCGAATGTTATGTCACTCTTCAATGAGCGAGGTTTTTTTTCTGTTCCCTCATTAGAATCTGAACTGGTCTTAAAAAAGTGTTCATGGTTCAATGTTTTGAGAGACAGCGTGTTTCACTACAGGACTGAGCCTTTATTTTTCCTCCTCTCTCTGCTTTTCCGTGTACATCAGAAATAGCTCTACTGAAGTAAAAAAGAGCTGTGGTAGGAGAGGAGACTGACAGTATTTAACGTATGGATGTTGCAGACAGTAAGAGACTTGCTTTAGGTTGGTGAGGGAAAGGCCATGGGGACCACCCACAGCTCCGAACCTGCCTTCTGCACTGCACAGCCACTGTGACATGGAATTTCACAAAGGAAGGGGCCCTGGAGAACACCTGCTGAGCACCACCACCCCCAGAATCACCTGTCCCTCAGAAACAACTGGGAAATCATTCACACAAAGGCAGAAAGTCCCAATGGCTGCAGCATGCGGGAGGAGAAAGCAGGGCAACACAAGGGCTGGGCAGGTCTTGTGTAAAAGCAGTGTTTGCCAGATGACATTTGTCCAGAAAACCGTGTCTTGTTCAGCAGCAAAAGGAGAGGAGAAAGAAAAATCCTCCTGCCTCTCACCCCATCAAAACAAGAACAAAAATAAAGCAGAACAAATAAAGATATATCCAACAGTTGCTCCTTGTTTGGCCTTAGGGAAAAATCCATGAGTCCAAGACTATCATCTGAGTTAGCTTGAGCATCTGTAGAGGGGACAACAGCCAGGAGCAGAGTCCTGCTGTGTTCACTCACCTTGCATAGGGATTAGGTTCTGGCCCTGCAAAAAGGTAGGAGGAATGGGAAAGGGAAACTCTTCCTTGCAACTACAGGGAATTGGCAGAAACCTTGTATTATGTTAAGCACCGTATTTGTTGCACTATATTACTTTGTGAGTACAGGCACAAAGGGAGGGGGAGGCTGGGTCATCAGGAGTACTTTTCCTACCCTGGGATATGAATACACGACTCTGGCTTGTGTAAGTGCCGCTTGCGTAGATGCATTTGTGGGTGAAATTTGGCCTGAGGTCTTTCTGGAGAGGAATCTTGCGACACTGAGCAATCATATATATTCAATTAGGAGTTCGTACTCTTGCCAGATGGAGGTATGCAGCATGGGTGACTTGTGAGCAAACAGTCATGCCTGAAGGCTGGGCATCTGGGGCAGATTCTGGACTAGGTACTGCCATGCTTACTTACACCAAGGAGCTCCTTACTCAGTGTCTCAGCCTTTGGACTTCAGCAGGAATCTCACTGAATGTGACCTTGTGGGAGACTGGGAGCATTGCTGGCTCAAAACATTACTGGTGTGTGTGGCATTGAAACCATCAAAATTGGGCCCTGTGATAGAAAAGAGATTTTAGTTCTTAATGCTGCTTTGCTGGGATGCTGTTTGCTTAAACCAGAGCCCTTCCAACTGGAACTGTGATCTCTTCACCTCCATATTTGCTGTAAGTTTGTATGGCCATTTGAGCATAAAAATTGTTTCACATGTTTCAGTGCTGCAGTCTTCATCCCTTGTGTCTGGCCCTGGGAGAGCTGCATTGGGAGAAGCCACCTGGTGATTTTAGAACCATTGCTGCTGAAAGTGTGTGGTGACATCTGGGGTGCTGCCTGCACGTGAGCCAAAGCTGGTTGTTGTGATGGCACAGTACACCTGGTCAGGAGCCTGATCCAGCTGAAAAGGATTGATTTTTCTCAGGAAGAGGACTGGTTTTCAACACCAGATTGGTGTAGCACCCAGTTCCATGATCACTGGTGCCAGTATAAAAGATGGAAGGGGTGGGGATTGAGGGAGGATGGCAACCACAGTTTGTGTCAGCTAAAACCTGACTGAAGCTTGGCTTAGCTATGCAACAGCATCCTAATTTAAACTAAACTTGGGTGTAACAGACCTGTTAGTCTACACTTACTGCACACACCACCTCCAGAAGATATGAAATAAGTCTTCTGTTGCATTTAGTGAGAGTTTAAATTGACTTCAGAGGTAGCAGGCTTAAACTGAGATTCTTCAATGTGAAAACTAAAAATTTCTAAGAATCCCTAAATAAGCCGATCAGTTCTCACTGAATTTCTGGCGCATTAACCACCTCCTTGTGGGCTTAAAGAATCCCGTTTGTGGCATGCAGAAAAGGACTCAGCACAAAGTTTCTAAAACATTCCTTTCTCTTTTTTATTAGTTGTGAACTATTTGGTTTAACTACTGTGAATGAACAGGACCCTGTAGAGGTCACTCATGACACCCATCTACAATTCGCTCTGGCTCAGTGGCCAAAAGCTAAATCTTTGGAGCTTGCAATAAACAAATTTGATATCCAGCATTGGGAACATTCATATTTGGACATTCTGGTTCTTGAGTCAAGAAAAGAGCTCATTTCCCTCTTCTGCAGGTGACATTCACCCTCATTAGTTCCATCCAGATTCAGCTTCACTTCTCTCTAAGCCTCCAGAAAGCTTCAATCTACTGTGAAAGCAAAACTAGCTCCTTTGAAATACACTTTTCTAACCCTCAACTGAAACATCTTCCATTTCAGTGTTGGTAGGACAGCATTGCCCACATTGAAGAGATGTTTTCCTTTCTCGTGAGCAGCAGATGCGCTGCCAGTGCCTTGAGCAGATCTCACTCTGCTTATTCCTCAGCATCACACCTTTGGAGTGATAACCTGCTCTTTAGGAGAAGGGGAGACCTGCTTGTTTCTCAGGAATTAAACAGTATTTGCTAAAGCTGTTTGCTTTTTAATGTCAACCTGTTAACTAAGTACTTTGTGGCTATGAGGTGACAACAGAGCCGATTCTGTGCCCTGTTCTGCTGCTGCTTGGATGGCATTCTCACACAGAAGGGAGACTTGCTGGTGCTCCCTTGTTTACACATTTAATAGCTCACAATTAAGCTGAAATGAACTTGAAGTGTCATTAACTAAGACCCAAATTCTATCAGCAACAAGAAACTCAAAGATTAAGTTTTCTTTCACCCAAGACTATTTTGTACTATTTCAGGAGGCAAGTATGTTTGAACATGCATTAAAGTCTCACTACGCTTCTGGAGTGATGTAAACACCCTCTTTAAAGACCCTTTTTGCTACCAGAGTGCTCTTAGACTGAACAAGAGCCAGGGATCATTGTTTCCAACTCCTCACATTCCTTACCTTGAACATTCAAAATCCATCAAGACAGAAGGGTTCCCCCCCTCCTCCTTTAATTTTCATCTTACAAAACACTCATCAGTTTGCCATTCCGGTTCTTAAAACGAACTGTATTACACTCGCCCTCACTGAGTGCTTTTGATAGTGTAGAAACAGGGAGTTCAATAGTATAGGGACACACCAACTCCAAGGTTTGTGATGTGTAAGAATTGGGTTCAAAACCTGCTAGAAACTGGGTCAGTTTCTATTTGTCTGTAGGTGCCAATTAGCAATGTCATTAATCCACTGCCTAGGAGAAGAGCATGATTAAAATAGACAGTGTCACTGACCACTGACAGGACAATAGGCACAAGGCTGTGCTGTAGCTGCCTGTCATTGTGCTGCTGTACTTAGGGCTCAGCCTCATTTTCCAGAAGGAAGTAACAATTTCATAATTTCTTTGCATCTGGGTATAAAGACAGACACATCATCCAGGCTTTGAATGCTGCTTTTTGTTGTGTTCTGGACAGGGAACCTGGAGCAGACCCTGGAATTGCTGGTGCCCCACCTGGCACCCACTCTCTGGCCACTTCCATGTGGTTAAAGAACACATTGTGTGTGTTAATGTCCTTCCCGGTGCTCGCCCACGGAGCCATCTAAGGCTCCTCGGGGGCGGCAGGTTTGAATTTTGCCTCCCCAAGGATGAATATCTGAAGCTGGGCCAAAGCTTTATTTCCTGCTGGTGAGAGAAAGGACGATGGGGGAAGAGGCGTGGGAGGCCTTGAGGGGTCTGGCTTGACGTGCTGCTGCTCCGGGGGCAGCAGGAAAGGGCTGGTGGTGCATGGCTGCTGCCAGGAAAGGCCAACCTCCAGCTGGAGACCACAAACCCTCACTGACAGTGGCCAGCCTGGCTTTCCAAGGCCACAGATAAAATAAGCATTGACCTAGGACAGCAGACAGTGGGGGAGACAGAGGGGTACAGTCCTGCTGCCTTCTCCCTGGTGTGTTGGATGAATTTTGATGTTGATGTTGAATTTTGCTTCTTAGTGGGAATTGCACTCTTGTTCCTTGCTTAAGAAGATGTCCAGTACTTTAATTTATGCTCCACCTGGGGATCAAATCTCTCAGCAAGACAGAAGGGGTTTTTCCCCCCTAGGTCTCACTTCTGAGAGAAAAATTTCCATGACAGAGAATGAAATACCAGGAATGGTTTTTTTCGGGTGGACCTTCCAACTTCTGGTTTGTAGCCACACTAATTTGTGGGTGGAGGAAATATTTTTGTACTGAAAAGTTCCCAAGAAACTGTTTAACAGGGAATTGGAGTTTAATTGGCACTTATGAGACATTAACAGTAATTGTATTCAATTTGGCCACTCAGGATAAAGTGTGATTCAGGATCAGCTGATTTGTGTGCTGAACAAAAAAACCCCAAAAAATCCCCAAAAAACAACAACAACAACAACAACAACAAACCACAAAAAAACCCCAAACAACCCACGAAACCCCCCCAAAAAAAGAAAAAGGAAAAAGAAAGCAACACTAATGTGTGGACGGGCGAATATGTGCCATTAGCTTTGTATTCCCAGGTAGAAGCTTTTGTGGTGTTTGTCTTAGGTTTTTCCCCACAAGGTGTTTTGCTGGACTGGAAAAGGTAGAAGGAACACATATTAACTGGAGGGAAATGGTTTGACTTCAAGTTCATCCTTTTTCAGTGAGCTGGATTACAGTTTTATCCCTGCTATCTCTTTTGCTGGTTTTTTTTTTTATGGAATGTCCCAAAAATTTTAAAAAAACCCAACAAAATCCATTTACTTACTTATGCTTTTATCAAGCATGCGAACAAGAAAGGCAAGGGAACAGAGGGTGAAATTTGATGTGGAGCCTTGTGTATGATGCAAGATAGCCATCAACATCCCTTGAACATTTCTTTTTCCTTTGCAGCAGAGTTCATTGTGCTCCCTCAGTGCTGTAGGTGAAAACAAAGACAGTGCCACTACTAAATGATTGCAGCTTCCGAGGCTGGCTGAGAGCAGAGAAAACAAACTATATGCAATTTAAGTGCCTGTTTGTATGCAAGCTACCACACAGCCTAATATATACACCCGTATGATGTAAGGCAGAGGAGATGACCTGATTAGCAAAGCCCTCAAAACGAGCTGGGGAGATCCCTGCTCCCCTCCTTGGAGACCCACGGCTGGTCCCAGCTGGAGGAAACCTTTCCGCAGCTACCAGAGTGTTTCTGCAAATGGCAGTGTGCATGAAGGTGAGGGAAGGAGGAACAGCAGCCAGCCTGCACAGCTCATAGGATAGCTGGGATGTTTTGAAGAATGCAGCGTGAATTCCTTGGGCTTTGTGAGCTCTGTGTGTGTGTGTGGGGAGGCTGTGCTTCAGCAAACGGCTCGCACCGCCTGGTTGTGCTGCTTATCCTGTTGTATGAAAGCATCATTCAGCAGAAAGAAGTGCTAGGGGAAGGAAGATAAAGTAAGTGGTCTTCCCATTTGTAAGCTCTCAGAGCCTTGTTGGCATGTGTGCTGAGCAGACAGAGCTCCATGGCTGTGAATGGGGAGTCGTGGTGCTCAGCACTAACTGCACTCAAGGGTTTATTATTGCAAATCAGAGAAACAGACAAAAATTAATATCTGTAAGAAGACACTTAAGATCCAATACTTTTTCTTGTGAGTACATGTAAATATGCACAGTTGGGATGTGGCTTTTTGGATATTTTGTGCAGTACTGTACCAGGACAGCACGCAGGCTTGTGGCAGCAACCTGGGGTTTTAGGTAAGGAGCACAGGGCACTATTTCTGGCTGTGCTGTAGCTACTTGTGTGGCCGAGTGTATTAAATCCTGCTCCTAAAGCCAGTGAACCGTTTCTTTGGGCTTCATTCTCAGACTTGCTGAATACCCCGAAAGGCTGCTATTATTAGAGGGAACTGCCATTCCTTTGCTGTGAAAGTGGGCTGTCCATAAATCACCAGTGTGTGCTTTCCATGGGGAGGTGGGTCTGGGACCTCAGCTCTCTCCCTGACAGCCCATGGAACTGCCAGAGCTCCTGCTCTTCCTCCTTTCTGCCCAGTCCCTGCACGAGGGTAGATCCTCCCGGTCAGGAGGCTGTTGGCTGTGCCACTTGGGCTCAGCACCAGGGCAGGATGGCTTCCCATGGCTTCTTGTGCTGCCGTGGTGGGGCCAGGCCCCTCCTGCTCCCCATGCAAACTGCCTCGTCTTGACCTGTTTCTCCCCCAGGGCACTGCCTGAGGCCATGTCCTAGTTGACCTCTCAGTCTGGGCTGCTTTTTACTCTTTTAAGAACAATGAATGCATCTCTGTGGCAACGAAAATATTAATTCCCTTCTATAAGCGATGCACTCAAATACTTTGTAGTTACAGACCATTTGGATGGCAGTGCCTGTGCTGGTACTGGTCTGCAGTGATCTGATGCAGTAG